ATATATATATATATATATATAAACAAGGTACAAAAATTACTCTAACTAACCCACATATATACCAAAATGTCTTGAGATTATTTTATAGGAATAGAAAGACGTTTGTTACATAATCAATACACCAATTAAAAAAAAAGCATGCTCAGTGAAAATATTATACATGCATATATAAGTTTCGGACGTTGATATACTCCAATTTTATTATTAGAAGCAAATTGATAACTAGGCCCAAAGATTATGAGTTATCTGTCCTTCTCCCACTCTGCAATCAATCACGAAATACACCTAAACTGTTATCTAACACCAAAAACGTTAATAGTAAATTTATGAGTTTCAGTAATAAATTTAATAATAAATAATGAGTTAATCATCCCATGTAAAATTTTTTATACTAGCAACCAATTATATCTTTTAAATTATTTTATTTTATTTTATTTTTATTAAATAAATAACTGACATGACACTATTAAAATATATGATTGATTGCCAGTGTAAAAAAAAATTTACACTAACAATATATAAGTGATTAACTCATAAATAATTTGTTAATTTTTATTTTATAAAATCTGCCTTTAACATTCATGCATGAGAACAAAGAGAATATGCTCAATGCATTTATTTTTCTAGATAAATTTAGAATTTAAGATCCCATGCATATTATTTGAACCTTAGGTCAACCCTATTCATCACATTTGGAAGAGTATATTAAAATACCTTACACTTTAATGGAACCAATCCCAAAAATACACATGACAAAGAGAACTAACTATATATGTATATATGCAACTTGAAGTTTGAATGCAAATTTAACTAAGGCATGAATAATAAATGACTATGTTGTTCTGCCAGGATCTTACAAACTCTCGGGTAAACAGAAGAAGAACATTATAAAGAGTAGCATGCCAACAAATCATCGATCGATATAAAAACCGAACCTTCAATAGACACTTCTTCCTGAAGATCGAGAATCTCCAATTTGATTGATGCTACATTATCCTGCAAGGACATATAATTAATCATGGCTTAATAGATATTCATTTATTCTTTGTCCAAATGAGGCGAATCTATCTCTCTCTCTCTCTCTACGTGACCTAATTGTGTTTACAATTCACTATAGAATACCCTTTCAATTAGAACAATTAATCATGTTTCATGCATCTCGAGTTATTACTAATTAACCAAAATAAGATATGATAAAAGAATACAGAAAAGGGTTTCTTCTTCAAATGGTGCAGCGGTTAGGATGCTTATGGGCCATAATAGATATTCCTTTATGGCTTTATCCCATCAATAAACTCTAACTGCTTTTGTTTGTTCTGGCACATATCATTTATGTACTTAAAGATTTCAAAAGAGATATGCATACTGTTAGGATTCAAACAAGTCCTACATCGATAAAATAATACAATAAATAACAACTTATATAATACAAACATACTTCAATGATTGAGAGATCTTTTGGGTAATAACCAAAAGAAAAACCGTGAGGGTTAAGACCCAAAGCGGACAATATTTCATCATTGTGGAGTATGTTTGTGTAATAACTTTATAAAAACAAGTCCCACATCGATAAAATAATACAACAAATAATAACTTATATAATACAAACATACTTCAATGATAATAATTGTTGATTAAAATTAATAATAAAAAATTATGATAAAATTTAATACATGTGTGATAAAACTTAAAATTAATTGTAATATTTATTGTTGATTTTTTAATTAACAATTAGTATTGTATTTTATTTTCTAAAGTAAAATCTTTTCACTTTAGAGAAATCAAATCCGACCTATAACTTGAATTAAGCTGGATAAAGATAAATATTCTATGTATATTATAAAGTTAATATAGAAAATCTGTTTGAATTTTTTTTTTATAATAAAAACTAATAAAAAAAAATCAAACGCATTAGTTAAGATAGATACATGAGATATTTTTAATTTATGGAAAAATTGTAATTTATTATAACTATTAATTACTTCTTTAAATTCATTTTTTTTCTTTTATGAATTTATTAGAAAAAGTTCATCTGGTTTTTATATCGTATTTAGATAAACTTTTTAATAAGTACTTATAATAAAGAAAAAAGAAAGGTTAGATAAAATAAATTACTTTTACAAATTAAAATTAACTTATATATAAATTTAAGTTAACTTTTGAAGAAGTTAGATAAATAAATCTTATAAATCATTTTATGCATTATAAATCAATTTTAAATGTCAAATGAAAGAGTTTGACAGGCAGAGATCTTGTTAAATGACTGACTCTTGAAAGAAACTTAATTCAATTTAACTTTTCTTGTCTTTCAAGAATATTACCCAATTGATCTATGACTTATAGATGATAGGGGGAAAAAGAATGAAGGGACGTAATAGGGAAAAATATAGTGAGGAACT